CCATATTTACTTTTTGGACATTGTAAGCACCGGCCTTTTTCAGGTGATTGGAATTTCGAACCGAACCCTTTATCTAGTGCCCCGGGGGTAGATTGTTCTAGTTCTACGTGCCATACCTCTTCCGGATATGTCAGTTGTTTCCCTTTAACTGAACTCTCCAAATCTTGGTTCACCGCTGCTGTAGCCTGAACTCACAACTCTTTGGGTCTAGTCACTCAATCTAACCGACCCCTTTATCTATTGGTCCATGTGTCCATTTTCTCCTGTAGACAAGAAAGCACCGTTCATTCACCGATCTACATATTCAAGCTTCTTTGAGAATTTTCCATTTAAATTTAGGTGTGTTCTTTTCCTCTTTCAATTTCCCAAAAATGTTTAGAAAGTGAAGTTGTATTTCGTTTATCAACATTAGTAAATAAATAAAATTATTATACAAACGCCTGTGTAACACCCTTTCCTATTCCTGTTTCCCTGACAGCTATAATCTCCAACTATTCAAATGTAATGTCAATCGACATCTCCAGTTACCTTGATCTATCCACTATCCCTCTCCTCATCCTTTCTTCTATCACTCCTATCTGATCTTGCTCCAAATCTTCTGCAACCCCCTGCATCTTAGCGGCTCCACACCTTGCTCGAGGCGTAATGCTTAAAAAAAACCCCCAAAAAACAAAAAACAAAACAAACGTTTCTTAAAAGTATTCATTGTACTCCCAATATATATATATATATATATATATATATATATATATATATATATATATATTAGTAACCCTTGGATTTTCTATTGATGAAATAGAAAACATATTCACAAGGGATTTTGTTAATCACCTGTTACATAAAGGACATTAGTCAGGATTTCTACAACTACATAGTTTTACTAGACAAATTGGGATCAGCACTATCATTACAGTTAGTAGTGTTATATTAATCCATTGTTTTATCGTTATATGATTTAATTATTTACTCTAGATTATTAGTACAACTATAGCTAAATTTTAGAGTATTCTGATTGAAAATTTTACTTGAATTATTTTTAGGAAAATGCTTATCAATTAAGTTAAAAAATTTATGTCCCAATTTAGTACGAATTAGTTGATTGAATGGAGGAGTATACCGTATGATCTTCTTGTTTCTGTTTTTTTTTTACTCTGAAACAAGCTAGAATCTATAGATCGGTGAATGAGCCGTGCTTTCTCTATCTCCAGGAGAAAATGGCGATAATTAAATTCTTGAATAACGATAAATTATTAAATTAAAGATATGAAACTACGGTAAATTGCAAGTATATTAAGTAATTAACCCTACAATCTTGCTAAAATTTATAACTCAATAATCACTCCTCTTATGATATATTATCTTTATATAAATATTTTAATGTTATTTTAGTGGTTTATTAAGGTATTAAATTGGTTAGTATAAGTAAATTACTTGTAATATGGTTAGCCATCAACTGACTTATTATTATATTTTTTTGCTTGTGGTGTTGATAATAGTTTTTAAAATTCAAAATAAATATATAAAAAACATATAAATGTTTTAAAATTATTTTGTACTCTAATATATAATGTAAGCTTGATATAGTTTAAGTATAGTTTTTTTGCATTTTAAAGTATATTTATTTACGTATTATGTCTAATGTTGTTTGAATGATTTCATTAAAGTGCCATAAAATTTGAGACGCAAAATTGTAGCTTGTAATATTTTACTATCTCTGTTGCGTTTTATTTCCGTTCAAATTTGAGTTCACCTTCTCAGCCTGGATTCATTGGTTTAAACTCGTGACATCTCATATATTCAGTATCTGTCTATATTTCTGAGATGAGGTATTATGTACACTATTTACATTATTCGGACTATTGTCCCCGTCTTTGTCGCCATATTTATTACAACGTTTCGGCCCTTCTGTATCTGTCTATATTTCTGAGATGAGGTATTATGTACACTATTTACATTATTCGGACTATTGTCCTCATCTTTGTTGCCATGTTTATTACAGTGTTTCGACGCTTTAGTATCTGTCTATATTTCTGATATGAGGTATTATGTACACTATTTACATTATTCGGACTATTGTCCTCACCTTTGTCGCCATATTTATTACAACGTTTCGGCCTTTCAGTATCTGTCTATATTTCTGAGATGAGGTATTATGTACACTATTTACATTATTCGGACTATTGTCCTCATCTTTGTGGTCATATTTATTACAACGTTTCGGCCTTTCAGTATCTCTCTATATTTCTGAGATGAGGTATTATGTACACTATTTACATTATTCGGACTATTGTCCTCATCTTTGTTGCCATATTTATTACAATGTTTCGGCCCTTCAGTATCTGTCTTTATTTGATTTCACATTTTGATCCTACTGGAAGAGCAAAATCTGCTGACAAATCTCTTTGTTTACGACAACTGAACCCGATTCCCTAAGCTGGATTGGCATCTCTGTTTAGATTTCAAAGATTTTGAGATAATATTCTTCCTGTTCTCAAGGGCAGCTAATGGTATCTGACGATACCATTTGTTGGGTGGGTAGGCGCATTTTACGACATATCACGCTTTTGTTGATTTATTTAATAGAACTGAGTCTATATACATTAGTAAAGTTTATACTTGAGGCTAAACATTGGTTGAGTTTATACTAGAGTCTATAGGTTGACACTTACTTGAGTATTAAGGTAAATATTAGTTCCGTTTATCTATAGTTAAACATTGACAAGGTTTATACATGAGTATTTGTAAACAATAGTTGAATTATACTTTAGTCTGTAAGGAAACATTAGTTGCGTTTATACAGAAACATATATGTAAACATTGGCCAGGTTTATACTTGTGACGGTAAAATTGATTGCGTTTATACTTGAGGCTATAGGTAAATTTTGTCGAATTCATACCTGAGTCAGTAAAAAATGGTTGACTTGAGTCTACAGGTAGGTATTGAGCTGGTTTGTACGTGAGTTTATAGTAAAACGTTAGTCGGGTTAATATTTGAGTCTACAAAGTCAGAGATTGACTGCTTTCTTCTGACCTAATTAGTGGCTCAGTGGGGAAGGGAGATACTTGTAATATTTAATTGCTCTAAGATCAATTGTGGTTCTCGCCAAGGAGGGTTTTTGCCTGGAACGCCTGTTGGCACTCAAGCTGCCCCCCAAACTCAAGTGGAATTCAATTATACAAACCTTCACTAAATATTCTGGGAAAATGTGTGGTTCCCTTTACCGTCCCAGTAAGTATCTGATTCCTCCTGATATGCTCTATGTTTCCAACAGCCAGATCAGACCAAAAATCAATCTAAACAATCAATCTATCTATGAACGAACAATCAATCTATCTATGAACAAACAACTAATCTATCGCTCTGCAAACAATCAATCTCTGAACGAGCAATCAATCTATGAACTGTTCCAGTAAGTATCTGATTCCTCCTGCTGTGCTCTATCTTTACAACAGCCAGATCAGACCATTAATGGAGTATTGCTGCCATACCTGTGCTGGAGATGCCCAGTCTTCACTTTCCAACTCTGATATAGTTCAGAAGCGTCCTTGTAGGCGATGAACCACTGCCCCACAGATGAAAGTTTGCATGCCTCTTGATAAACTATCACAAATTGTCTGGCGACCTACCTTCCTAAGTTCCATAAGCCCTGAGACCATTTTATCAAAGACCGAACGAATTATCCCCATTTCCTTGGTATTCCGTTAGTAAGGAGGAAGTTTCATTCAAGGCTTACGGCCAAATCACGTTGAAGTAACGGTTCTCAAAGTTAAGCAACGTCAAGTCTGTTCAGTGCCTAGATGGGTGACCACATGGGAATACCAGGTGATGTAAGCTCAGATGGGCTGGTGGTGTAATGCACAACGGCTCGTAATGAGAAATCGAAGAGACGAGTTCATATTTCAATCAAGTTCGTTATATTCAATTACACGCAGTTATCCTTGAGAAAAGTATGATTCCATCTCCCCAGCTATGGGTTAATTAGTAGGATTTCTATCAGTAAATCATTATTATCCCTTTAAAATATCCGGGTTATTTATGTATGGATCGATACTTTTGCTTCAGATCAGAGTATTTGCATGCTCTGCCTATGATCAGATTATAGTACTATGTGCTTGGTGTGTGTGTGTAAAAGTAAAAGACAATAGGAAAATATATATCATGATATCAAGAGAAAATAGTTGAATCCGTCAACACAACAAAAAAAAATATTTCTAGACGTGAAAGTACTTGACGTAATTTTCAGTTGACAACATGAATACAATAGCTTTTTTCTAAATTCTTTTAGTTGCTAAGGACATTTTGTTTGTTGTTAATAGTTATTTTGTTTTCAATAAATTCATTTCGTTTTTGCGTTGGAAAAGTTTACATTTACGAAACGCGTCGGCTAATATACAGTAAATTGTCTTTTACCTTTATATATATTGACTTTTTCTACAAGTCTGTGAAATCTTTTACACACACACACACACACACACACACACACACACACACACATATATATATATATATATATATATATATATATATATATATATATATATATATATAGCGTTTAATACGTGTACGTAACACTATTTATAAAAGCAATACATTTGAAGAGAGCTGGTTTCAGATTAAGAGATAAAACAGATGGATCTCAGATAAAACAATGTCTTAGACGGAATTAAAATCATCTCAGAATAAAATTCGGCTTAAGGCCACATCACGTCGAAACATCAGTTCCTGTACATTCACCGAAGTTAAGTAACGCCGAGCCTGGTCTAGATGGGTGACCGCTTAGGAATACCAAGTGCCGTAAGTTTGGATGTGCGGATGGTGTAAGGGATAAAGGCTGGGAATTGTTAATCGGAGAGCCGAGTTCTCGAACTATCACCGAAGTTAAGCAACGCCGAGTCTGGTCAATACCTAGATGGGTAACCGCTTGGGAATACCAGGTGCTGTAAGCTTGGATGTGCGGGTGGTGTAATGGATAATAGCTCGGAATTGTTAATCGGAGAGCCGAGTTCCCATAAGATCACCGAAGTTAAGCAACGTCGAGTCTGGTCAATACCTAGATGGGTAACCGCTTGAGAATACCAGGTGATGTAAGCTTAGATGTGCGGGTGGTGTAATGGATAATAGCTCGGAATTGTTAATCGGAGAGCCCAGTTCCAATTCTCATTGGGTTCGTTATATTACCTTACGCGCAAATACCCTTGGGAAAGGCATGAACCCACCTCTTCTATGGGTTAATTAATAAGTTTTGTATCACTAAACCATTATTATTGTTTTTTTTAAATTCTTATAATCTAAAAATATCTTTATGTCTTTAAGAAATCTGCTAAGGGTTGATAAACCCTAAAAAACAAATAAATTAATCATAAATCATGAACCACCGCTGCATAGGATAAACTCCCGAGAGAATGTTTCCCCGATCAAAACAATCATAATCTTTTCAATATAAGGTTAACCGATATCGTTCCTATCCCCTGAAACTGCATTTCTTCCCTTTTCCTCTTTAGTTTATTCTCTACCTTGAGTGGCTCATGGGCTTTGTCGTAAGTGAGGAATAAGTAAAAAAAAAAAGTATCCATTTGGTAAGTGAACTCTTTTGTTAAGGGTTTTACTCTTCTAAAGGTTATGCAGTAGGCAGATACTCATTGCTGCCGAGAGTAAGAAGCATCAGATTTGACAAATGGGAAAAGAGACCAGGAAACAATTAATGATTTTTCACACAAGTTGTGTCTCCTGGCATTCAAAAGAGATCAATGGACTTTTCTTTTTATGTGCAATATCTCTTCAGGGTGTAGGCGATCATGGCTCTCCACTTTCTCCCTATCCCTTGTAGCTCTCAATAAGTTTCGTCCCTCTGCCATCTCTCCCAGATCACGTTCCGCCATTTAACTTGCTTAAGCCCACCAGTTATGTTGCTTTCCCTTGTCTCTCTTTCCCTCTAATCGCCCTGTGTGTATCAGATTCTCCAAGTCCTCTTTTCTCATTAAGTGTCCGTGAAATTTGAGCTGCCTCTTCCTGATGATAAGTATAAGCCTCCTCCTTGTTTGCATCATCTCCAAAGACTCATCGTTGCTCACACGCTCGGTCCATGACATTCTTCTATAGAACCTCCGCCGCCGCTTGTCTCTTCTTCATCTTTGAGGAGATCGTCCAACATTTGCTGCCATAAAGAAGGTGATATGTCACGTAGCATCTCTGTACTCTTTTCTTTGTTACCAAAGAAATCCCCCCCCTGTCTTGCAATACTCTGGCCAGCTTTTGGAATTCGTCCTTGGCCATCCCAATACAGCAAGCCCAAATGCATTTCTCACTCTGTCTTCAAAATTCTTCTCAGTTTCTCTATTCATCGTTATAATATTCACACGAAGAGTAAAAAAAATGTAATGAAATCCAATCATTTCATTCTTTCTATAAGACATTTTCTACTTTTCCCAACTTTTTAAAAGCATTTTCTGACAAAATTAATATAATTAATTTTAATTAATAATTATATATATATATATATATATATATATATATATATATATATATATATGCTCCTGAAAAATTTAGAAGCATACCTAAGTTGCTAAACTGCATTTCTTTCCTCTTTCTCTTTAGTTTATTCTCTACCTTGAGTGGCTCATGGGCTTTGTAATAGGTGAAGAATTAGCAAAAAAAAGTATCCATCTGGCAAGTGTTCCTTTTTGTTGAGAGTTTTACTCTTCTAAATGTTATGCAGCAGGTGGATTGTCATTGCTGCCGAGAGTAAGAAGCTTCGGCAAACAATCTGATATTCTGAATACGCTGACAGCCGGGAAATCACGGACACAAATGGCTAATCTTAGCCACACATAAGCCGGTCTCTCATTTACTGCTAGTGAAGTGAAGAGGGACGGTACTGAGGCCAAAACTGACATCGCGGTCGGCAAGAGAGAGTCGGAAAACTAAATCCTGTGACATATTGTTTTCCGACGCGTAAAACAGATGAGAAAATTTATTAAATTAATTTGGTTAATTTTTATTATTAACGACAAAACATGTAAAGAACAATTTTATGTAAAAATATTATTTTTTCAATCAATTTCTTTCTTTATTTTTTACTTTTTGCTCAACTGTTTGTCGTCTTATTTTAAATTTAAACAAGTTCGACCTGTTGGCGTTCGGATTCGAAAATACCAAACGGTCGTTGATAGAACGACATGAGGCACAAGGCGTGTTTTCATTGCAGGAACAACGCTGGCTATCTCAAAACAGGAGAGAAAATGACGAAAAAGAAACATAAAAATGTGGCTTAGAAGTGTATTTAATAGGAATGGAGTTAAAGGTCATATGTGCATGTACAAACAAGTTGAGTTTTGCACCTACCTCCCCCCTGCCCGGACTGGTGATTTTATTTGCATAAATTCGAGTGCAATAAATATTTCAAAGAAATCAGAACTAGGCGTTAAAAATCGATTATAAGTACTTAAAAATACATATTTGTGATGTTAATAATATTTATGGAATATCTAGTGCGTGAGAATCAACGAGCCGAACAGACCGACAGAGTAAAATATCTATCTATCTATCTATCTATCTATCTATCTATCTATCTATCTATCTATCTATCTATTCAAGTCTGTTCATTATCTATCTATCTATCTATCTATCTATCTATCTATCTATCTATCTATCTATCTACAGATACACAGATAGAACTATGTGTGTGTGTGTGCATGTGTATGTGTGCGTGTGAATTTTCTAGGTTGGAATGTCTATGCAGAAGAGACAAAATGAATAAAAACAACATAAGTAAAAAATACACTTAACCGGCGCTTTTCGTCTTCTAAGGAAACGTATGATTCCACCACTGCTATCTATATATATCCCAATCTGTTCATTATCTATCTATCTATCTATCTATCTATCTATCTATCTAGGTAACTATACTCGTTTCGAAAACCTTCGAATTTTTGACTTGCCAATAATCAAATCAATCACGAAGGAGAAAAAGGTATTTTAAAAAAGAAAGAGCTAGAAACATGAATGTCTGTCGAAAAAAATCGCACAGATACGGGTTTGAAGCCCAAAGAAAAAACCCCGATACGAGTAAACTAACTAACAAAAAGACCACCAGCTTTCCCTGACGATCCGCTTAGGTGAAACCTGGGTAGGTTTGTCTGGCTCACTAGGTTTATCTATCTATCTATCTATCTATCTATCTATCTATCTATATATATATATATATATATATATATATATATATATATATATATATGAATAATTATAAAATTAACTATTGTACCACAGACGAAAGGTCGCATGCCTCTCGATACCCTATCACAAATTTTCTGCCGACCTAATTTTTTAGTTCTGTTAGCCCTGGCCATTTTAGCTAAGAATAGCTTAAATTTATCTATCTACAAGGAGCGATGGTTAAATTATCGTCAACATTAGGCAAAAATTGAAAATAACACTGACATCTCATTTAAACAGATATGTTACCAAAATTACTCAAAAATATCTTGAAATACTAAAGCGTAAATATATACAATAAAATCGCTATTGGCTTCAAAGAAGACGACTTTGGAATCTCTTGCAACTTTTCTGGGCGGTCTCCTTGTTTAAGTTGTCTAATGCTGCCATAATCCTTGCTTTTATCATCTTTAGAATTACAAGAAGTTTTGTTGGTCTCTCGTTCAACTGCGCCCACATAATAATCAAGAGTGTTGCAGTGTGGCCAGATGTAAGGGTTAATGTGGCCGTAGGAATTGTCTGCCAACCAATATCAGTTCCTCCTGCTTGTGTAGCATGGTGCAGAATACTGTTGCCAGACAAAAGGTCTTTCATAAATTACGCACTTGACCCAGGGCAGCACTAACCCCACAAGGTACTTGATGTAGGCCTCTGTGTTGAGTTAGAAGCCCCGTGAGAAGATGAATGGAGTCATAACGTTGCCATCTCTAATGATCAATCCAACATATTCGTAATCGCCATTAAACTCATCCAATAGGATGATTGTTCGTTCATAGATAGGTGCAATCATTCTATCTACTAACGAATAATCAATCTATGAACGAGCAATCAATCTGTGAACACAAAAACATCGCATCTATGAAGGTACAATCATCCAATCTATGAACGAGCAATCAATCTATGAAAGAACAATCCATGAACGAAAAATTATTCCATCTATCTATGAACGAACAATCATCCTGTCAATGAACGAACAATCAATCTATGAACGAACAATCATCCTGTCAATGAATGAACAATCAATCTATGAACGAACAATCATCCTGTCAATGAACGAACAATCAATCTATGAACGAACAATCATCCTATCAATGAAAGAATAATCTATCTATGAAGGAACAATCAAATTATCTCCGAAAGAACAATCAATATATGAACGAACAATCATCCTATCAATGAACGAACAATCAATTTATGAACGAACAATCAAATTATCTCCTAAAGAAAAATCAATCTATGAACGAACAATCATCCTATCAATGAACGAACAATCTATTTATGAACGAACAATCTATTCATGAACGAACAATGAATGAACGAACAATCAACCTGTCTCTGAACGAAAATATAATATATGAACGACAATCATCCTATATAGATAAGATAATTGTCGTTCATATATTGATGAAAGAACACTCTATCTATGAAAGAAAAATCATCCTATCTATGAACGAACAATCATACTAAGAACGAACAATCAATCTATGAACGAACAAGCATCCTATCTCTGAACGAACAATCAATCTATGAACGAACAATCAAATTATCTCCGAAAGAAAAATCAATCTATGAACGAACAATCATCCTATCAATGAACGAACAATCTATTTATGAACGAACAATCTATTCATGAACGAACAATGAATGAACGAACAATCAACCTGTCTCTGAACGAAAATATAATATATGAACGACAATCATCCTATATAGATAAGATAATTGTCGTTCATATATTGATGAAAGAACACTCTATCTATGAAAGAAAAATCATCCTATCTATGAACGAACAATCATACTAAGAACGAACAATCAATCTATGAACGAACAAGCATCCTATCTCTGAACGAACAATCAATCTATGAACGAACAATCAAATTATCTCCGAAAGAAAAATCAATCTATGAACGAACAATAATCTTATCTGTCTATGAACGAACAGTCAATCTGTGAACGCAAAATGGACGAAAAATCTATTAGCGACAATCATCTTATATATGTAGAAACAATCAATCTATGAAAGAAAAATCAAGAAATCTAGGTTATGAACATGACGAAATTAAGAAGCAATCCCGATATTATTGGAAACTAGACGTTACATAGTATCCTAAAATAGTTTTCTTTGTTTTGACAGGTATTTCTGAATCCCTTCGAAATCTTTGCGTTATTATTATTGTACACTATCGAACGCAATTCTGTAGTCCATGCTATCGATAAGTTTCTTTTCCTTGTTTTCATTTCTTCCGATATTGTTTTATTGATAATTTGTCGGCCCTTGCACCTATAACTTCCTCTTTTACACCCCTTCTGTTCTGCTGGGAGCAACTTGCTTTTCTCAAGGAAATTGTATGACTTCTCGGTTATCATAGAAACGATGATCCTGTACATTGTTGGTAGGCAGGTGATGGGCCTATAGTTTTTCGGGTTCGGCGTCTCTTTGGTTTTTGGCGTTATTTTTGTCACTCCCTACATGAGCCATTAGTAGAATTATTCTGGGTTTATGATTATATCATTATATGCCTGTGTGAGATCTCGATGGGGGCTAGATAGAGCTTTCCAGTTTTTGGACTTGCAGATGGAACCGTTTGTTTTAGTAATATTGATATCCTTACATTTTGGGCGCTCTATATATGTGCATTGTTCCTATTGTTCTTTGATCCATGTAACTCTTTCATTCTACATTTTGCAGTTTTCCCACATCTTTCACCAGAACTCCTCGACTTCTTGGATATTAGGTGGGTCATTTATCCCTATTTTATTTTTTACAAGTTCTCGATATAGTTTCTTGGCATCTTCTTTGAAGATCTTGCTTTGCCAGAAGAATCTCTTTCTTTTTGTCATAACGCCTGATTATCTGTGCCTTTAATTTGCTGTTTCAGTTTCTCTTTATGTTGTGACCAAGTAAGTGGTTAAGAAATAACAAAAAACAGCCTTGCAGATATATCGTATATTAAACAAATCACCAGAAAGTATTACACGACTAGTAAGAGTCTATCGTATGAACCAGCGCTCATTCTATTTACAGTTTACTGTTCCCGCGGAAGAGTCTAACACAGACTCTTTAGAGGGAGAATACCACAACACTTTATGTCAAGGCTTGGTTTCAGTTGTCTCCTTTTGCTTTCTTTCATTTTGTAGCCCTTGTCTACTTCACTTAAAAGTGACAATTGTCCTCGTAGTTTATTTATTTCGGTTTCGATTTTATCTTTTCAGACTGACATTTTTCTTTTTCATTTACGCTGTGTTTTTACTTTTTCACCTATTGTTTCTGTGATCGTTGCCGAGGCTGGGTATATGAGATAATTAATTTCTGTCAGGTTCATCCATCTTTCCATTTCATCCCTTATTTTTCTAATTTGGTTAGCGAGGTTGATGGTTTCTTTCACGTGACGGTTCTTTCTTACTTTTGGGATTGTTGGCCTTTCCTCGCAAGACATTCCCATTTATATCAGATATTTTGTCTTCGCTGTTTCTCTCCTATATTCGCCATTATCTTCTTATAATTGCCTGTGTACCTCAGAAGGATTATTGCAACTGGCTTCTATTTGTTCCTCTGCACGTGTCTCCTCTGGGTTGTTAGCATTTAGCCCATCGGTGTTAACGTTTAACGTATGTTTGATGTTTTCTCGCATGCTTTATGTCAGGTATTCTTTTTTCTGGATGATGACACGCCTAACCCTCATGTCACGTTTAGTTTGCTGGCATCGATGTTTAGTGCGGGGGATGTTTTTTTCCCGTCAGGTATTTTAGGCGGCTTTGGTTGTTGTCGGATTTACCGTAGCAGTGTAAAATGCTTTCATTACTTCAATATACTCTTCTCGAGACCATTTCTTTTTTGTTCTTTTTGTAGGATTTTCTTTTAATGAATATTGACGGCCTCTGTGAGGATTGTCTTCGGTGTGGTTTTCCTCTAGTTCTCAGTGTGTAAAGTTTCTTCCAGTTGCAGAAATTTCGATCCCAATCTGGTTCCTCACTGTGGATAGTGGTCCTTGTTGACCCGCGTGACGAACGATACGGTTTAGCAATATTTTTCGTTTTGTCAGCATTATAGTTACACTGGGGTTGGTACCATGATGGGGGATCCCGTTTATTATTATTATTATTATTATTATTATTATTATTATTATTATCTCTTCTTCCATATGGTCCTACGCTTTCAACCCGAGATCTGACCTTATACCTGTTCCCCATGATTCGCAGAATATTTGCCGAGCCAAGTAACTTCTGAAGAGGTGATATACCAGTCTTTATTCCGATTTTCTTAATGTAGGTGTTTAGATCTGGTGGTACAGACCGCATCACCCCATTGATAACGGAATATATATATATATATATATATATATATATATATATATATATATATATATATATTGGCTTTAAATACCTGAGTCACAAAATGGCTTTAAACAATCGCACATTTTCCTTTTTACCAAGGGTTGTTGTCAGGTAGAAAGGGACATTGTTAAAAAAAAAATATTTAAATATTTAATAAAATCTTGTAATTATCAGATTTTACGTTTTAAAACAGTTATTTTTATTCTCTTTGTTCTTTTCTTTATTGCTTAGCTCCAGGTAGGGTTGTCCAGACTGAATGAGAAGGGGGAGTATTATTCCAATGTTTTATTTCAAGCTAGAGTTAAATGTTATGCATTAGTATTCTTGTTTGTATAATGAATGACACAAGCAGGTGTAAATCCTTCTTTCTTTCTTTCTTTCTTTCTTTCTTTCTTTCTTTCTTTCTTTCTTTCTTTCTTTCTTTTCTCACTGAAATCAAAATGTCTTCTCCCTTCTTTCCAGGCGACCAAAACGGAATATTCTATTATTTATGAGGTATTGTCAGGAGGCGGTAAACATTTTTATCACCCCCTTCTTTCTTTCTTTCTTTCTTTCTTTCTTTCTTTCTTTCTTTCTTTCTTTCTTTCCAATCCTCGTCTTACGAACATTTCTCTTAATAATAATTTAAAAGAATTCAGCAGACGAAGTTATTTAATTCAATTTATTGTAATTGGATAATGAGCTATTGCTTACTCGGTTCCCATCGTTCGATGGTGTGCGTCCAAAAAATACCGCTTTTATCGCAGTCGACATGGCTTCTTAGCCTTTTGGATAAGATCAAAATATAATACCAGCCCTCGGGCGGATAAGTTATATTTCTTCTCTCAGATTCCCGTCTGTCTGTGGACAGAGCGCAAGTGAAAATATTTACTGAGTGATGCCCGGTCTCAGGAAACAGCTTCCCGCATCAGTACCTCTCCTCATTGCACTAAAGAACGGGTATCGGTAATAATAATGACACCAGCGCAACTGACGGTTGCCAGTGTTGAACACTTTTGGGATCTGGCCTCGATGTACGCGCTGCGGCTCCCCATATAAAATTGACCTTGTGTTACATCCTACCAGCGTGGGTCGGCAAGAAAATACAATCGCTTCTCGGCCTTTCGGTTGAGATAAAGGTGTAGTATCTGTTTTTATCAGCTTAATCTGATTCACTCTCTCTCAACATGTATCTTTCCTTCTTTCTTTCTTCTTCTTTTTCCCTCTTTTGACACAAACAAAACTCGTAATAGTCTGTTATTTATGAGGAAGTGACAGAACGTAACGTTCGTGCTATTAAACGAAGGGAGGGAAAAAGGACAATTATAATTGGATTATTATTATTATTATTATTATTGTTATTATTATTATTGTGACTGTTGTTATTATTATTATTGTGATTACTATTATTATTATTGTGATTGTTATTATTATTGTGACTGTTGTTATTATTAATATTATTGTTATTATTATTATTATTGTGATTGTTATTATTATTATTATTGTTATTATTATTATTATTGTGATTGTTGTGATTATTATTATTGTGATTATTATTATTATTATTATTGTGAATGTTATTATTATTATTATTGTGATTGTTATTATTATTATTGTGATTGTTGTGATTATTATTATTGTGATTATTATTATTATTATTATTGTGATTGTTGTTATTATTATTATTGTGAGTGTTCTTATATTTTTGTGGTTATTATTATTATTGTGATTGTTGTTATTATTATTATTGTAATTATTATTATTATTGTGATTGTTGTTATTATTATTATTATTGTGATTATTATTATTGTAAAATGTTATTATTAGACTGTTATTATTATTATGACAACATGAGATTGTTATTAATATATTATTGATTATTATTATTTTATTATCATTATTGTGATATTATTATTGTTATTGTGAGTGTTATTATTATATTATTATGATTATTATTATTATTGTGATTATTATTATTATTGAGATTGTTGTTAATATTATTATTATTGTTATTATTATTATTGTGATTGTTATTGTTGATTTTGGTTATTGGTATAGCCATTGAAAATTCTGATCTTGGTATGATTCTGGTATGGTTTTCTCTAATTCTAATTCTCCTAAGAATTTACCTAGAAAATTGAAAAAAAAAAAACGCTAGGGAAGAATTACTATTATTATTGTGTAAGGCATCATCTTGCCAGAGAATAATTTTTAGTGTCCAATTACAAAGTCCCCTCAGTGGTTCTATGAGTAAAAAGGGGAGTGCTGGAGAGTCATCTGTTCTAGGTAAATATTTGAGTTGTTTCGTTTTGTCCGTGTATTGAGTACTGTTGCCATATCTTGTCTGGTGCTTCTGCTATTCATCTAGAAGTTCTTGACAATATCCAAAGAAGGATATCTAATGTAAACAATATTGATTAGGCCTATCGACATCACGTGACGTGAATGTTTATAGCTACTTTTCTGGCAAGCTTTTTTCCCTGGTGCAGCGAATGCATGAATTTAAGCTTGCTACTAGATTGGCATTTAGGTCCCACCCCTTTGCTTTTGCAATATCTAAATGCAACCCCTATTTCTACTCCAGCTGTTTCTTTTCTCGCACTTCCCACCTGTGGAACTCCCTCCCGATTTCTTGCTTCCCTGATAACTACAATCTTCAAAAATTTAAATGCAACTTCAATCGGCATCTTTAACCCTGTTCCTTTTATTTTTTTCAATTCTCTTTATTCTCAGTTTTCTCTTTCACTTGCACTCCTTGCGCAGGAGTGGCATTACCGCCTTGCTTGGGGTGAAATTATTACAAAAAAGGATGAAGAAGGTTTTGCAGATGATATGTGCAGTTCCATCCAAAGTAATCTTTTGTAGCTCTGCCCCTATCCCAGCAGAGATAACTTATCATTTTTGTAAAAAAAAAAACAAAAAACAAACAAAATATGATCACGCACATTTTACATTGATAAAACACTTCGTACGGTGTCAGCTGTACTTATGAATACTATTTTTTTTTTATTTCTTTAACGCATTTGTTACTAGAAATCCCTTCAATGATTCTATCGGAATATTTTCCAATCAATCCGAGGGTTTCAACTATAACTGGAATTGGGAAATGGAAAAAGTCCGACAATTATTTTAAGTCATTTTTTTATGTTTATACATTCTTTTTATAGATACAAATATTTAAGTAAATGCTCTGTTTATAATAAACAGTATTAAGCAACATTTACCGACTTAAATATTTGTATCTATAAACAGAATGTATAAACATAAAAATGTCTTTAAAATAACTGGAATTGTTGATGTCCTCATGCGCCACATTTTTGAGATTTCGATTTCAAGGTCCTTGTATTTTTATAGTTTTTTGGAGATCTTCAAAGATACGTTACTGCAGGGACTGCCATGTTAATAAGGAATACACGTTCTGTTTTTGCGTTCTCTGATCACGATGTCTGGGCGATTAGCTTTGATTGTTCTGCCTGTGTGAATTGTGAAGTCGCATAAAATTGTTACAGGTCGCATCTCTACCACCGGGTCTGGGTGGTGTTCATACAAGTTCCTTGCCGTTTCCTTTCCGGAAAAAGTGGCATATTTTCCAGTGCAGACTATCGTCCCAATCTATCATGCTGAGTTTTATATTTTGGGTGCTTATACTGTGCAACTTGATACAAGACGGTCAACTGTTTCCGAATATTTCTCATAGAATATGCATTTGGGGTCAACACAGTTTTTTAGTATTTGTACTTGGTAATTTCTAGTGAGCAAGAATTGGTCTTGTGCAACAAGAATAAAAGCTTCGGTTTTAGTTATTATTATTTCTCTTAAAGGAAATTCGCTAAATCGTGATCGTTATATGTATTACTTCCTGTCACGTGTCTTCCGGTGTTGCATGCAGAACGAATCAACCCACTCTATTTAATCACTGACAGTCTTCCAGCGTCTTCGTTTGTTTTTAAAACATGGAGAATATTTTTTCTTTTACATGTTTTTAAAATTTTTATTTTAGTTTACACTTTCTCCGCCATTTTGGATTAATTCTTCCTGTCGCCTTAATGTGTTAAAAATCGATATTTTTAATTATAAAAAAAATCAAGGTATTGTGTTTTTTTCTCTTTTTGAGTTTATTTAATCTTTCTTTTAAATTTTTTTTTAAACATATTTTTTTAAAATCTTTTATCCGTTTGCTTTTTCGTAGCGTAGTTCTATTTTTGTTTATTTCCTTTTTATAGTTGTTTTATTTTCTGTTTTTCTTTTTCATTTTTTTCTCAATTTTTATCTTTAAGTTTTATTTTTACCCTTAATTTGAATGCATTCTTTCTCGTCTAAATTTTGTGTTTTATTTTTGATAACGTAACGAGTAAAGACAACTGAAGACTAAAGCTCTTATCTACCGAGATTTTGTGAGACGAGAAATAGGTGTTGATTAAGCTGATTAAAAGGCAAAGCAAAATTAAACTCATGGAGTTAACAAAGATTTTTTTTTAAATCTCATCCCAGAAAAAATAGATCCATACAATATCTTATTTAGTTTAGAAAAGGTTACTGAATGAGGAATAACCAACACGGAGGTTGGAAAAGAAATAGTAATCTTTATAACATCAATAAAATATAATACTCGCCAACGGCGTGAAATAGATAAACCACTGCTAGTGGTGGACTACGTAGGCAGCATATTATCTCCACTTACAATAGTGTCAACGTAATTATGAGGATTGGAACGTACCTCTTAGTGTTCATAGGTATGGTATCTATCTATCTATCTATCTATCTATCTATCTATCTATCTATCTATCACAGTCTATTCCTTTTCCATCTATCAACCTATCTATCTTGTAATCTAGAAAAAGGTTACTGAATAAGGAATAACCAAAACGGAGGTTGGAAATGAAATGGTAATCTTTATAACATCAAGAAAATATAATAATCACCAGCGGCGCGAAGTAGATAAACCACTGCTAGTGGTGGGCTACGTAGATAGCATCCCACTTACAATAGCGTCCAACGTATTTATGAGGTTTGGGGCACACCCATTAGTGTTTATATGAGTAAGGTATCTATCTATCCCTTGCAACCTAGAAAAGGTTACTGAATGAGGAATAAACAAAACGAAGGTTGAAAATGAAATGATAATCTTTATAACATCCACAAAATACAATACTCGCCATCGGCGTGAAGTAGGTTACTCTTTCTAGTACAAGTAATGCGCTTATATTTGTAAAATCTAGGTACCCTAGCGAAGACCACATCCAAACAATTACCATGAAAGCGTTTATAGAAGAGGCAGAGGAAAGCAAATTTACAGCAGCGGGAAAGTGACTGAAGCCGAGATGCCAGGTCAGGACAATATTATTGCTGATCGTTTCTTTGAATATTATCAAGAATCTCTAAATATATAGCAAGAGCACCGGGCCACACACCCTTGTGCAAATTAATTGAAACAACCACTTTAGTTTCTTTTCTTTCACCATACGGCCAGATTTAGATCCACTGGTGTGGAAGGGGGTAATCGATTTCTATTTTTTGCAGTGGTGTTCAGTAACATGAATGTATTTTCGGGATATATCGTGAAATTTGTTTGGCCTTGAAGAATATTGCGTCAGATTTTTATCACGCACAGACACTATTGTCTCGACTGTCGATTAGTTGTCCTACGGCCATTGTCTGCTATGGACGTTACTGCAAGGGGGCGTACGAAAATTGTAATGTTGCACGAACACAATGACAAGCCTTACCAGTGAGTAAATCAGAGTACTATCAAGTGGCTCGGAAACTCTCCTAATTTAAATCATGTCGAGAATATGTGGTCAATCTGCAAGGAAAGACTTCGTGGAATAAAAAACGAAGTACTAACATGGGAACTGGGTCATGTTTCATTGGAAAATATGAAAAATAATCTGTCTATATTTCTGAGATGAGCTATTATATACATTATTTACATTATTCGGACTAAACAACATGCAATGATAACAGCAAAAATTGCAATATGATCACTGGTAAAATATGGTTTCTGAGGACATTAGGTTCATAATACCGAGAAATTCATACCCAGATGTCCTCAAGGACACATGGCACAGTGGATAAAGGTGTTGGTTAGATCCAGTGACAGGAACCAAAGAGTGTGAGTTCAATACAAGTGAACTTTCAGAGGGAAATTAACAGGAGGTAACTGATACCTGACAGCCATTAAACATGGCACATTGAACTAGAACAGTCTACCCCAGTGAGTGAAATAAAATGTTCAGTTCGACATTCCAACCACCTAAAGAAGGCTGGGGCGTTCAACGGCCGAAACATTGTGATAAATATGGCGACAAAGATGAGACAATAGTCCGAATAATGTAGTGTATATAATACATCATTTCAGAAATATAGACAGATACTGAAAGTCCGAAACGCTGTAATTAATATGGCATGAAAGATGAGGACTATAGTCCGAATAATGTAAATAGTGTACATAATACCTCATCTCAGAAATATAGACAGATACTGAAAGGTCGAAATCCTGTAATAAATATGGTATCAAAGATGAGGACAATAGTCTGAATAATGTAAATAGTGTACATAATGCCTCATCTCAGAAATATAGAAAGATATTGAAGGCCCGAAACGTTGTGATAAATATGGCGACAAAGATGAGGACAATAGTCCGAATAATGTAAATAGTGTACATAATACCTCATCTCAGAAATATAGACAGATACTGAAAGACCGAAACGTTGTAATAAATATGGCGAATAAAGAATCTTTAAGAAACAAGTACGAATTTAACGGAAAAAATTACGAAAAACTTTTTGTCGTTAAAAAAAACAAACAGACGACATTCATTGAAGGGATGTCAAAATTCGTTGAAAAATGCGCCCAACACATATGTAGACTTAACGTCTTAACCTCCCGTGTCTAAATAATTGGATTTCTCTGTGTCCTTGGAAACAAGAAATTATGAATTATATGTGCGTTTAAATCTCAGTAAATTTAAAAATAAGTTATTCCAAAATTCGTTTGAGGATGAAACAGAACTAATGCTTTTAATTTAATTATATAATTAAGTTTTTAGCTTCGGTTTTTGAAACATGGTAATTCCTGTGTAGCAAAGAAACCATATTTCCATCGGTTATTTTATATATATATATATATATATATATATATATATATATATATATATATATATATATAAACAAACTTCCTTATTTTTTTGAAGTACTTGTTATTCCATGGCTAACTTTAGCATACTTATAATTAAACAAATTCGGCCAACGGGGAAATTCTTGGAACAGTTCCAGTGCAATCTGCAATGATCAGAATCATGGATTCTAACAGAAGTGTGTCTATTTGGAATGGTTACCACTATCACCCAATTCACCGAAACCGTTCGAATTACCATTTTTCCAGGAGGAATCAAAAGAGGATTGGAATGAAAAGTTACCAAAGACGAAAGAATTGCTCATCAAAGTGACAACATGTCTTAAACAACCGAAAGAAAAAGGTACTAATGGCAATCTTTGCAGACCAGAAGATTATGCAAATAAACCGATGTCTCTGTGGTATTCTATCATGGTCGATTTTCTTTGATCAAACCGCCACCATGACTTGGATTTGCTTTTGCTTTTCTAATTCTTTTACTCTTCTTTCTTTCTTTTCCTTCCTGATTTTTATCTATTTCTTTCCTTTTCTTTTTCATTTTTATGATGTTTCTTTCTTTTATTTCAAGACTTATTTTTTTTCCTTTTCATTACAACTTTTCTTTCATCTTGAAATTTCTTTCTTTAAACCGCCTACTTATCTTTCTTTCAGTTTTCAAAATCTGTTCTCTTTCGTTCTTCTTTTATTTCCAACCTTATTTTTCCTTCCTTCTTTCTTTCTTTCTTTCTTTCTTTCTTTTCCACCTGTATTTTCTTTCTTTCTTTCTTTCTTTCTTTCTTTCTTTCTTTCTTTCTTTCTTTCTTTCCCACCTGTATTTTTCTTTCTTTCTTTCTTTCTTTCTTTCTTTCTTTCTTTCTTTCTTTCTTTTCAACCCCTATTTTTCTTTCTTTCTTTCTTCCTTTATTTCTTTCTTTTCCACCTGTATTTTCTTTCTTTCTTTCTTTCTTTTTTTCTTTCTTTCTTTCTTTTCCACTTGTATTTTCTTTCTTTCTATCTTTCTTCCTTTCTTTCTTTCTTTTCCACCTGTATTTTCTTTCTTTCTTTCTTTCTTTCTTTCTTTCTTTCTTTCTTTCTTTCTTTCCCACCTGTATTTTTCTTTCTTTCTTTCTTTCTTTCTTTCTTTCTTTCTTTCTTTCTTTTCAACCCCTATTTTTCTTTCTTTCTTTCTTTCTTTCTTTCTTTCTTTCTTTTCCACCTGTATTTTTCTTTCTTTCTTTCTTTCTTTCTTTCTTTCTTTCTTTCTTTCTTTTATTCCCCCCTCCGTTTTCTCAAATTTTATTTCTCCTTATCAGTTCCTTTGTTATTACTGCCCTTCCCCTCTCATACCCCTCCCGCATCGATTTATTCACAAACCGGCCATTACGGATTATTCGAAATCTCAGGCGTTAAATCTAAGCAAGAAAGATGAAGGATTATCTCCGCCATCACCTGAGGACCGTTAAACAGAGTGAAGAGAAATCGGTAAATAGGAGATGGCATGATTCGAGTGAACATCAGGCGGCTACGGATCGTCTTCAGGCCGTTGGCACCATCACAACTCGCTGTCCGTTGACCCTGGCCTAATGACCACGGATTTTCCCGCTTCGTGTTTCGCACAGCCTTCCGGCGTCTCGGTTACTAATACAACGCGACTTGGGGGATGATTTATTGCAGCCGCCTCAACCTTGGCATGCTTATTGTCCTTTGGCGTCTGGTCTTCATCCAGAACTAAGATGTTTCGAGTCAAGCACGTATTGTGAGCCTCTTGCGTGAGGATTGGGATTTTGCCTCTAGGATAAAATCCGTCTTCATGATTATCACAGATTAACGCCAACGTTGTTATCTGCTTGAATTATTACAATAATAACGATATCTGAAAATATGATACTCGTTAAACACTTATAAAAGCTAAAGAATTAAGAATCGGGAAATTTCCGTAAGAGTGCTGAAATTCTATGTGATATCAATCCTCCAAGATGGCAGAGAATACTGGAGGATTTCATAAAAATTTCTACGAGGATTTCATAATAATTTCTAGGGGATTATTATTATTATTTACATTTAAATGGAAACTGTTATCCTTATCTTTGTTGTTATTATCAAAAACTTTCTGCAGTTATGTTTTTTTATCAACAGATTCTTGTCAAATGTTTTTGCAGTAAGGTTCAAAATGAATGAGGACATTCGAGTTACAGTGTCACGTTAAGATGTCATTTGTATGGAGAGAAGGCAGAGATAACGGTTAGCTCTAGACTTGAACAGGTTAAGATTGTACTGATCGGGAAACCTAGACTTTGGAGTCTGTTCCACAGGACAGTAGTTCGTGGGAAGAAGCTGTTTGTGTGGAACTTACTTCTGCTTGGTGAAATACGGTAAGAAAGGTGGTGGCTTGCTACTATGTAAGTGGCATGGTAGGTACTAGTCGTGAAGGTTAGACCTTGAAGAACCAAGGAATATAGTTCATTCTAACACTTTCCAAGGAAGTAGCGAAAAAACAGCAAGAGACTTGCCACATCCAAAATAATTCTTCCCAATTCAAAGACTCAGAGACGCTTTTGGACCCTATAAAGACTACAAAGTCTGGGCAGCTCCTGGCTAAATATGACTACATTACACCATTTTCTGGTCTGATCTCGTGAATTCTACAGAATTCTGTTGACTCCATAACTCAAAAACATCCGTCCACTACATCAATGTATGTCACCGACAATAATAAAAACACATCCTGATGCTAAACTAGGTATGACTTTTATCTGAACATGATTAGAAGTGTAAACATGTAAATGTTTTTATCTTGGTCAATTGGAATGGGCTACAGTAAATACTCCGTTTACAAGCACAGATTTCCATGTCACTTGACTAGAATTGGAATAGAGAGGGAATGGCAGTGGTTTGCTACTATGTAAGTGAGATGGTAGGTCCTAGTCGTGAAGGTTAGGCCTTGGGGAACCAAGGAATATAGTACGTCCGAGAACCTTCCATGCTAGTAGCGATAAAACAGCAAGAGACTCGTCACATCCCACCTCTGCGATAGGGAATGGAGGTTGGACAATAATTCTTCTCCATTCAAAGACACAGAGACGCTTTTGAAATCTATCAAGACTGGAAAGTGAGGACTGGGTAGCTCCAGCCTAAATATGGCAACAGTACTTCATTTTCGACCTGATCTCTTGAGTTGGGCGGAATTTTGTTGATTCCATAACTCAAAAACTTCTGTTCTCTACATCAAGATACTAAATTCCTTAGTTCCACCAGTTATGACCTTCACGTCTAAGCCCCGCCATGCCACGCATATTGTAGCCAACCACCTTCATTTCCTTCGTATTTCATTGGTGAGACCTAAGTTCCATTCGAGCACCTTTTTTCCACGAAGGGCTGCTCTGTGAAAACGACCCTCAAGTGGACTGCAATCTTACCTTGTTCAAGTCTAGGGTTAACCGTTATTTTCCCCATATATCCACATAACTGTACCTCCGTAATCCTCTACCTCCAGTGGATCTTTGGCAAACAACATTGTAACAAAAAGAATATCATATCCTCTTGGATATTTGGAACGGGTTAAGTTTGACTTTAAATGAATCTTTGGAGAGGTTTAATTTGTTTTGGATAATTATCAGATGATTTTTATGATTCTCGTTATGTTTGGACAGCTATGCTATCATTATTGGTTCAGTGACGGCGTGGGACCGTATGGTTGCTCACAGCTGAACACTTGACACTTCCCTCCACATATCCTCATTCATGTGTAGAGTGTCTTTGACAAAGTAGACTTGGCTGCGCCTATCTCTCTCCGGGTAAAACTACACCCGATGCCGATGTCCCCCAGCTTGAAGCTTCGTCTCGGTCACGGGAAGACCTCCGCCCTTTGTCCTAGCCGTCGACGTTAGCCAAGGAAACATTCACCCAGCGATACGATCAAATCACGCTGAAAACACCGGTTCTTGTTCAATTACTGAAGTTTGAGTGCCCCTTACTACCCACATTTCTAGGAACCGATTGTATAAAAGCAGGTAAGCCTTAGGAACCTATTCAGCTTATTTTCTTTTCCATCTGAGAATGAAAACAAATTAATTTACAGTATAAAAAAGAATTAAACCATTTTGATAATTTAATAGAAAACATTTATTTAGTCAGATATTTCCAGATTGAAATTCTATTCTCGTTATATTTCTGTTCAGAAGTTTGATGCTTTTTGATTCTAGTTTCATCAACTGTGTTATGTTTTCTTAGCCACATTCGAACTGAATCAGTGCAATACCAAAGATACAATGGAAGATCTATCAAACGTATGACTAGAAGATTTGCCACATTTTTAAATTCAAGACGATTTCTTTTGCCAGAATAAATTATGTTTATCACAGAAAACCATCTTTCAGCCTCCTCAGAGTTTCCAGAAATGGTGTTGTTATGCAACACAAAGAGTGTTCCGTGTTCACTCCAGGGTTGGTAGATATGATCCCGTAACTGCTCGAAGCAAGATTTTTTATGGGTTACCAACATCAGAGCTAGTGGATCAGGATTGAAACGTAAATCAACTGGCTGACCTCGGATCGTCTGAACTCCGGAAAATGTTTGTCTATATTTCTGAGACGAGGTATTATGTACAGTATTTACATTAGTCGGACTATCGTCCCCATCTTGGTCGCCACATTTGTCACAACGTTTCGGCCGTTGTACGCTCCGGCCTTCTTCAGGTGGTTCGAATTTCGAACTGAACCCTTTGGATTTCGAACACCGGGGTTAGAACTGTTCTAATTCCACGTGCCATGTTTGAGTGGAAATCAAACACCTGAAGAAGGCCGGAGCGTACAACGGCCGAAACGTTGTGACAAATGTGGCGACCAAGATGGGGACGATAGTCCGACTAATGTAAATACTGTCCGGAAAATGTGTCAGCGGTAAGAGCTTCAGTTAAACAGTCTCCACTATAAGCTATTTATTTACTATTTACCTATTATACAGGACGCGGCAAAATGATCTGACACATTTGTAGGTTTAATAAAAGCGGAATAGAGTAAAGAACGAAAAATGTGTTTTTTATTTTCCAAATGTAGATAAAATACCATTTTGTTTCATTTCGTTTTCAGTTGGCGACAACAATTGGATAAGTGAGCATCGCGCTTTCATTATGGAAACGTTTATCAAGAAAAAACGAATTTCAGATTTCAGACGAGGACATTTCAGAATTCAGACGGGGACGTTAAAAGTGTTGATGTGGACATTACAAGGAACCGGAAACCAAATCCTAAACAGGAAACAAGATATAAATTTCCATCTCTGTTCAATTGACCAAAGAGGCGTCTGAAGCGTGCGATAGACCAACCTATCTACTCCTATTAAATAGATACAAATATAGAACGAGACGTAAGACAAGGTTGTGTCTTCTTACCGGATCTATTCAAACTTTACAGTAAAGCAATCCTCAGAGAACTAGATATCTTATCGGGATTTATTATTAGTAGACACAATCTTAACTATATAGAATATGCAGGTGATGCTGTGTTGATTCCGACATAAAACTGTAGAAACTTTAATAAAGGAATGTGGGAAGAAAGGACTAACCAGTGGTGGTATCCTACCGGTTCGCGCGAAGCGATTCTTAAATTTCTAAAAGCTTAATGAAACGGTTATTGAATTATCCGAAAATAATCTTATATATTAATAGCCGATATACAGGCTATACAAGAACGAAAAATGTGATTTTATTTTCGAAATGTACATAAAATGCCATTTTGTTTCATTTCATTTTCAGTTACCAGTATGAATTGGCTGGGCGATTATCAAGAACATTACCAAGAAGAACGAATCGGTAACTGCATTATCCGGCCCGATCACCAGATTTAGACCCAAGCAATTTTTATTTTCTGTGGGAATATCTGAAATCAAAGGTATACAATCATTGCCTTCGAATCATTCACCAATTAAAAGACACCATTCGCCAAGAAATTGCTGCCATTCCACATGAAACGACCCGTCGAGTTATGCTCAACTTTCATGAACGCCTTCGATAGTGTGTGGAAAGTAACAGCACCCATTTGACTGATTTAATTTTTAAAAGGAAATGACACAAAATGGCATTATATGTCCATTTCGAAAATAAAAGACACATTATTCCTTCTTTACTCTATTCCGCTTTTATTAAACCTACAAATGTATCAAATCATTTTATCGCACTCTGTATAATGGCTTTATTTTTTTTGCTATATTAGAGTTATCTCCCTTAGACTGGTTCTTCTTGAGAAAATATATTTAATAACCCACATATAAAACCAACTTATAATAATATTAAAAACTTAACAAATTATGCCGCTATTTCTAACGACGCAGTTAAACTAGTAATATTGATAAAGCCAATTTCGCGACTATTTTAGTGTTAAATGGAAAATAATATCCAACAGAAGATGACATAA